TTTCACAGACTGCAACCTTTTTTGCGTTAAAATAATTGATTACAATAATTAAAAAATAAAATAATAATTCAATCAAATTGTTTAATATATATTCACATTTCCGTTTAATGAAATATAAATAATAAAAAAATTGTTAAATTTTAATTTCAAAATATTCAAATTAAAAATTACAATATAATTTTTTTTATTTCTCATTTATTACTTAAAAATAAAAAATAAATAAATATATTTATAAATAAATTTTAAATATTAATTATTAAATATAATTAAAAATAAGTATTAAATATTAATTGCTATAAATTCAATGTTCATATATAATATAGAAATATATAAAAATAAATTTATAAATATTGAGCTATATAAAAACATAAATAAAATTATAATTTATAAATTTTACTTAATTTTCGTATAATATATTTTTCAAATGACAGTTGAATAATTTTGATAATCCAGTAAATAAATATCCAATCCAATAAATAAATTTACGAAATAATATAAAAACATAAATTAAATAATACTTTATATTTATAATTATATAAAAATTTTATATATATATATATTATATATTAAGCTTTCAAATGTCAATTTAATATGTTTTATATTTTCCTTTCGTCTTTTGCAGCTCATCAAACAGAACAGAAATGGTGCACAACGAGGAGCTCGCCCTGGACACAGGTGTGGCGCACGGCACACCTGTTGCCATAAACGGCGAGACGAAGCCAAATCAGCGGCTGTACGAGCCGCGTGAACGTTTTATCATAACCAAAAACGTGGTCGTCATCGGGCTGGCCTTCATGATACACTTCACGGCCTTCCACGGCACCTCGAATCTGCAGAGCTCGGTGAATGCGGACAAGGCGCTGGGCACCACAACGCTGGCCGTCATCTACGGCTCGCTCATATTGTCGAACATATTCCTGCCCATGACTGTGATTAGGTGAGTCTTGCATGCTGCACACCTGCTTGCCCCATAGAAATTAATTTCCCTCGGCTTTATGTAGATTCAAATTCAAAGTTTTGCTTTCATCCTTTGTTCACGTCTTTAAGATCATCTCATTGTCGCATATAATTGCTGTGCCAACTACGGGGAGCTGGGGCAGGGGCTTAGCCATAAATTTTCGGCATTGCCATAAATGTCGGGCAATTGCGTGGCGTTTTTATGGCAATTTTATGCAGATGCGACAGTCGGCAGTAAATACTTTGGCTGCTTGCTAAAGCATTTGACTGCTAAATGTCAACGGGCGAGTTTTTGGGTGGGGAGGCAAGTGGGCGTAGTTGATAGCTCAGCGCATCCTTATAGACATTTTGCCCTTTTTTTTTTTTTTTTTTTTGGCTATCGACCATTTTGTTTTGGCTGACATTTAAACAAATCGCTAATTTATAGAAAACGTTTGCAGCCCAAGGGGGCGGACAAGTTTCGACACATTTTTCCGACTCGTTTGACTTATTCCGGACACGCGCGCTGGCCCCAAAAGGAAAAAAAAAAAAGAAAATGCTGCCCACTGGCAACTTTAATCAGTTAACTCGATTTATTTAGATTTATGGCCGGCCTTGAAGCAGCTGCTTAGCTGGCCCACTGAGTCACTGAGCCACTGAGTCACTGAGTCAGTCAGTCGGCCAGTCGGCCGTTCAGCCTGCTGGCCAGGCTAATACAAATGGCCAACACTAAGCCTTTCCCACTTACTCTAATCAACAGTTGGTTCGGCTGCCGCCTGACCATGGCCCTGGCCCTCTTCGCCTATATGCCGTACATAGCCGCCCAGTTCTATCCGCGCTTCGAGACGCTCATTCCGGCCGCGTTGATGGTGGGCTTTGGCGGCGGTCCGCTGTGGTGCTCCAAGTGCACATACCTGTCCACCGTCTCCGAGGCGCTGACCAAGGTGCGCGGCAGCGAGTCGCGCAAGGATGTCAACACGGTGAAGTTCTTCGGGCTGTTCTTCATCTTCTATCAGATGGCGCAGGTGTGGGGCAATCTGATATCCTCCTCGGTGCTGACGCTGAGCGCCGCGACGCCGGCCAATGAGAGTCTGCTGGAGCTGGAACTGGAGCCCCTCGAGGCGAGCATAAGTCGCGTGGGCGAGCTGTGCGGCGCTCGCTTTTGCCCCGGCATCAGCGCGGAGGTGAATCCCAACCTAGTGCCGCCGGCGCCCGAGCAGATACAGCTGCTCAATTCCATATTCCTGGCATGCATGGCCGGCGCAGTGATTATGATGATTTTTGGCGTAAGCTCGCTGAAGCGGTGAGTATATATATACATATACATATACATACACATACATATATTTATATGTCTCTATCTACTTCATTATTCGCTCGCTCAGCTATGGCGTTAATCGCGGCGACACTGGGGATGGCATCTCCGGCCTGAAGCTCCTAACTGTGACCATTAATCTGCTGCGCAAACGCCGCCAGATACTCATGCTGCCCATAACCATGTTCATTGGCCTGGAGGAGGCCTTTCTGGCCGTCGACTTTACACGCGTAAGTGAGCTTTTTAAGCTTAGCTGCCCGCACAGCTAACGTCCCTAACGTCCACTCTTAGTCGTTCGTCGCCTGCGGCTGGGGCATTTCCAAAATCGGATTTGCGATGATCTGCTTTGGCGTGGCCAATGCGATTGCCGCCGGCATTGCGGGCGCCCTGGTCGAGCGCATCGGACGTGTCACCCTGGCGGCCATCTGTGCCGTGCTTAATCTCTGCCTGCTCGCCTACATGTACAACTGGGAGGCGCGCGAGGGCGACTACCTCATGTACTGCACCTTTGCGGCCATTTGGGGCATCTGCGACGGCGTCTGGCTGGTTGTTGTCAACGGTAAGCGCAAAGCTTTAAGCTCAGCTGTTGCTCAGTACTTACTCGCTATATTGCAGCTTTTTATGGCATTCTGTTTCCCAACCATCTGATTGCCGCGTATAGCAACTTCCGTTTATGGGAGAGCACGGGTTCGGTTATTGGCTACGTCATCAGCTCCCAGCTGTGCACATCCACCAAGCTGATCATTCTGATTTGTGTCATGGTCGTGGGATGCGTGGGGTGAGCTTTATTTTTATATAATTAGTTTTTAAATAATCTAGATTGTTTTAGACATTGTTCACTTTTTAATTTATACCTTAATATTATTAGCTCATATACCTCATTCAATTACCTGCATTCATATATTTAATATTATAATATTTTATATAATTAATTTTCAATTAATTTCGAGCCTTTGAACAAAATTTAAAAATTATTTAAGGTTTTCTAAAATTATTTTTTAGTAATTTTTATTTTTATTATTATTTTTATTATTTTTTTTTTATAATTTTTGATCTAGACCTTTTAAGAGGGATCCAAATATTTTAAAATTTATTTTCTATTTTCTTTTTTTTATTGAAAATTAATTTCCAGTTATTTTTAAATTAATTTTTATATTTAAAATATTTCTGTATTTACTTATATTTATTTATCTATTTATTAATTTTTATTTTTATATTAAATCTCCAGCTACGGCCTAATTCAAATGAATCCAATTATTTTATAAATTTATGTACCTATTTTTATTTTAATTATTTAAAATAAATTTCCAGTTATACTTCAATTTATTATTATATTATTTAAAATATTTTAGTATAGCATATTTATCTATTTATTTTTTAAACTTTTATTTATTATTATTATTTTTTTTTATATTTCAAATATTCTAAAATGAATTTCCAGTTACGGCCTAATTGAGTATCGTGTGTGGCAGAAGCAAAAGAACTTGGAGAACATGTTGAGTGACTGATTGATCTTTGACTCTGCCGCGCTTGCTTTGCTAATCTACGTGCATGTGATATTGCCAGTCTACACTAAGAGCAATTAAGAACAATGTAATTAGTATTAATAAGTTAGTTTTAATATTTGTATTTTAATGAATTCCAATAAATACACACGCATTTCGCATTAGCATTAATATTGAAGTGAAGATTGAGTGGAATATGCTCTGCGTAGAGGGGTTGTCCGGGTATAGAGGAGGTAGAGCTATATAGCATCAGAAATGATTTCTTAGAGCATCATATCGAGAGCTATATATTTGCTTCCACTACTGCCGTTCCGTTCCGTTTCGTTCCGTTTCTTCGCACCTGCCAGATTACACTCTATTGCTAAGGCACTCTGTTGAGTGAGAGAGGAGATAGATCTCATATATATGTATTAGATTTCTCTCCTTCTCTCACTTTAAATTCATAGAAATACCTGTTAAAATGATGTAAATAAAACACGCATGATTTCATATTTTTAATTATGTTTGTTTTTTATTACAATTATTTAAATATTTTTTGTTGTTGTCTTTTCTTCCTCCAGTTTTTTTTTTCTTTAATGACTTTCTTGTGTACCATTTGAATTTCGCAATTGAAGTATTTTGCTTCTTGAATTGTTTGTAATTTCTTTTAATTTTTATTTTGTGTTTTCTCTTGTTGTTGTTGTTGTCTTTTTAAATTGCTACATAAATTTGCTTAGTCTAAATTTTGTTAGTGCGCTGCCATACATTTGAGTGGGATTCAGTTGTTACTTGATTTACGGATAGTGGATTTCATGATGGCCAAATGAGAATTATTAATTGCTAGAGTTTATAATTTATTTATAAATTGTTTAAATAAAATACACTTTAGTATATACGTTATATTAATATATATATAGCCAACGCATTAAATGCAATTATTTTGTTTTTGTTAAATCAAAGCTTACAATTTATAAAGAATTTAATTTACTTGTGTCATTTATTTGTTTTATTTTTTTTTGTTTTTTATTGTTTGTCATTTTGGTTTTACGCTTAGCCATACAAATTGTTAAATGTAAATCTCTAGTTTTGAATTCGTAATACATATATTTATATATTTTTCCATGTTTTTATATGTATTCAATATTTTTTGTAATTTTTTTTTTTTTTATTTATTTATTTATTTTTTTTTTTTTTAATTTTCTTTTTGGAATGGCACATCAATATAAGAAAATGGGCCCTAAATGTGTTTGACCATAGATTCTAGACTATTTGGGATATGATTAATGTTAGTCATAAATTGTAGATGATTTTTTTTCTGGCATTCGATTCGATCCGTGGAGGGGGGAGTGGCATATGCAGACATTAGTGGTAAATGCTATGACACAGCTTTTACTTTACATGGCCTAGAGTCTAAGCGCTAAGTGTTTAAAACTATCACAAAATACACGCACACACACACACACGTACATACACTCACACATCTACACACACGTACACAAACTATATACAGCATATGGAAGGCAGCACGCCCCCCTAGACCATGCCCTTGGACATCATGCGAACGGTGTTCTTCAAGGCCTGCCGCTTGTTGCAGAACCAAATGCGAATCACTTCGCGCTCGTAGCCCAGCTGATGGGCGAGTCCTGTTATTTCGGTGCCTGAAAGGAGAAGAAGCAGAGATACAGATGTCATACATTGCCCAACTCGAAATGAGCTTGATCCACTGAAAGTTACCACTCACCCGATGGATGCGTATTGCGCTCAAAGTGCGCATTCAACAGCTCCAGGGCTTGCGGCGTGAAGGAGGTGCGACGCTTGCGCTTCTTCGACGGCTCCACGCCAATGTAGTCGGTCAGATGGTTTTGTCCCGATTTGTAGCGATTCCAGTGGCTACAGAAATGAGACAGAGAAACGTACGTTTAGTTGAGTTTGCTAAGTGTTTGGCTGGACGTTGTGTGGAACTGCCTCCATACTCTCACCTCTCTTCGGCCTCCTTCATCCAGCGCTCCAAGACGGGCTTGATTTTCTGAGCACTCTTTGGTGTGATGTCGAGTTTCTCGAACCTATGTGCGTACATATACATATACATATACATATATATAGGAGGGATAGAGTAACTTAGTAAATGCCGTACAAACGTATGCGCGAAAAGTAAAAGAAACGTAACTAAAGTGCCAGGACATTGTCAAGTAGCATATATTTTTTTTTTCATTATTCTTTTTTTTTTTCTTTTTTTTTTTTGGCTGCAGGCCACGCAAAAAACATACGAAATTTGTTGTAGCTGTTGTAGTTGAAAGCTGCTAAAAAATATTGCTCATTGGCAATGCCCTGGCCAATCATAGAACTTGGTGTTGGAGTGGGAGAAGCGCATACTTATAATAATAAAGATAAGAAGCAGAAGAAAACAAAAACATAAAACAAATGTACAAAACAAATATGAGCTCTTGCACTTTAGTTAAGTTTCTTTCACACATAGTCAGGCACACATTCGCACACACACACACACACTCGCATACACACACATACATGTTCTGTTGTTGCGTCGACAGTTGAGCGGCATACATCTGCGCAGCGAGTGCACTGCTTGCATTTTGGCATTTTGGCATTTTGGCATTTTGGCATTTCGACGATGGGGACAGCCATGGCGACATGGGAGAGTAGAGAGTAGAGACGGTTGGCGATTTCAAAATAAACAAATAAAATAAATAAAATGAATTTTGCATTATTTTTCGTTTGTCACTGGTTTAAATAATTAACTAACTAATTAAGCATTATGTTCGATACATAGATATTTAATTACATCAATATAGTTAACATACAAAATATGTATACATACATATATGTTTGCATACCCACATATGTATGTATAAATATTTTGCTATGGTTTTTTATAGCTTGTTCAAAATGTCCTGGCACTCTAAAGATTGTTCCAGAAGTTTTTTAAAACTAATTAAAATTAAAGCGTTCTAAATTTGTTTCGATTGCAAAATAATTGTGTTTTTTCTTTAGATAAATTATAAAAATGTATTTCTGTTTCTCCTCTTTTGCCTGCTCTATAAACTTTATGAATTTCGTTATAATATTTGTATAATATTTTTATTAAATTATAAAAAATTATATGGGAATATATTTAAATTGTTTGTTGCTTAAAATATTCGCTAAATAAAATATTTTTCATTTTTTAAATCATAAAATTTTGTGTAAAAGGATGACGAACAAAATATTAGATTTTATAAAACAAAAAATAAACTAATACAAATAAAATTAAATAAGGATTACAAAATATGAATTTCTTTTTAAATATTTTATTTAAATTTTTTGTATATTATTATTTATTTAAATTTTGTATTTTCGCTCTCTTCGTATATAAGTAAATAAATATTTAAATATATATTTTGATTAAAGACTTGATTTAAATCATTTTAAAGTATATAATTGATAGAAAAATCCCAATAATAAAATTTAATATAATACATTTTAGAGTTTTTTAACATATTATTTTTTAATTTTTATTTTTATTTTTCTTAATTTTCTTTATATAAATATTATATATAAATATTTTTTTTATTTTGTCTGCCAATTATGATATATTCCGCACTTTTATAATTATGAGTTAAAAAAAAAAAAAAATAAATAAATAAATAAAAAATAGAAGGAAAACGAATTCAATTTCTTTTATTTATATTTACAATTTTTGCTTGCAATTCTTTTTGATATATAGAATATTTATTGCTTTGGTACTATATATATTATGATTTTGATAAGCCTAGTGGTATTTGAGCTTTATACCAAATGTAAGTAATACGAAATGAAACCTAATATCTTGCATTCAAATCTTAAAGGTTTGTAAGCTGACTCGCCTTGATCTAACTTTATCTCTATCTTTCAGTTATTTGATATAAATAATAAAAAGCTTCGTCTATGCATAGCTCACCTGCATATGGCACTCTGGCTGTACGCCGGTCCCTCGGTCACGGATAGCGCCTGGCCCACCTGGGTCTGGGTGAGGCCCAGCGAGAGGCGTCGCAGCTTGAACGCCTTGGCGAACTCCTTGATCTCGTCCAGGTCAATGCCGTCGACCACATTGGTGGTGGCCTGATTGATGGTGGGCTCATCTGGAAAAGCAAGTTGAGTTTGGCAGGGCATTAGTGAAGCACAAGCAGCTACTAACGGTACTTAAGTGGCTAGGCTAAACTAAAATGGCCGCCAGACGAGCTAACTGTTAACTGGACCGTCCGAGCGTCTCATAACGAGGCAATAACTGTCAATGCGAAATGACAACATTAATTGGCTACGAGTCGCACGCGGCTCTTAATTACAGTTAATTGCGGTAATTGCGAAATATTATTAGAGTGTCGTAGGTAAATTGATAAAACTCATTTGCCATAGCACAGGAAGACACTCGGAGGTTGTTGCTGCTGCTGCTGTTGTTGTTGTTGTTGTTGCTGTTGTTGCTTTTATTGCTCTGTCACTTAGGTCGTGTTATGCTTGTCTATTAGGCAAGCGGGGGAAAAGTTGGCTGGCTTTATCTGCTTAATTTGTTAGCAGCTGCTGCGTCGCGCTGTCTGCGAACGACACTCGCCAAACTACACGCACAGAAATTTGATTTATTTATTAATGATATGCAAGCGACAACAAGGAGACGGCAGCGACTCTGTCAGAAGACACCAGCACAGCACAGCGCAGCCATTCACTTGACTGTAACTGCAGCCGAGGCGCTTTAGCGGTAATTAAGATGCGCCAGCAACCAGCCCCAGTCCCTGCCTCAGTGCCACAGCCAGCCTGAACTGCCGCTGTTATCCTTGTCTGAATCCTTGCCAAGCCATAACTTGCGCTGCTGTCGTCGTCGTCGTCGTCGTCGTCGTCGTCGTCGTCGTCGTCGTCGTCGTCGTCGTCGTCGCTTTGTTGTTTGTTTGCCATCGAGCAGTGAAATATGTCATTAAATACGAAAACATCTTAAGTTTTTGTATGCATCAATTAGTAGTAATTAAGCTGCATATTGTCTGCAATTTGTATGCGATGCGACACTAGAGGGCTGCCATCAAGTAGCTAGCGAAGTAACAACTGCCATACGATCCTTACCCCTTGCCATCCTACCACCCCCTCCCACTCAATTGAGACTGAAACCTGTTAGCTGATGGCTTAGCTGATGCCTCTAGCCTGGGGCTGGGGCGGGGGCTGGCGCTGGGCCGGGGCGCTGCCTGCTTGTTGTGCTGATTGCATTTTTAATGCATCCAAAGTTTCAATTAAGCTCTAAGCGAGCTGCAAGCCTGCACACACACACATGGCACACATATGCATGAGCAAAACATGTATTGATAAGGACTCAGAGTGTTAGGGGTGCTCGCTTATAAGCTGTATTCAAATTGATTTTAGTAGATAAAGCGGGACTGTGCTACACCTAGCATAAAAAATTTACTGCTATACGGTAAACATATAAACATATCAGACATTGCAATTTATTTATAATTTAACTTAAAAATATTTTCAATATTTATTTAACTATAGAAAACAGACGAACAGCACATAATTACATATAATATTCAAAAATATTTATAAATACTTGATAGTCAAAAATGTTTAATAGTTGACTACATTTTGAGTTATAAAAATATATTAAGTATACGCCTTTCTGATGAGACTTCTAGTTATCCCTTCGGTACTTTTGAAAATATTTATGTTTTAATAATTTTCAATTTTAATTAAATTTTCCCCACAATGTTAATTTTGAAAAGTATGAAACCAAGTCGTCCCATCAAATAAAGTATTTTCAAAGCAAAACGGAAAATTCATGTATAAAAATATATTATTTGTAATTACGTTTTCAAGTGGCTCAACAGAAATTCGAGTAAAAATCTAAATATTTTCTTACGCAATTAGTGAAAATTCACAAAAGCCACAAACATACTCACACAAAAACACTCACACACACACTTACACATGAGCTAAATAAGCAAAGAGTTGGGATTTGGGCAAATGAAATTCAAGTGGCAATTGCAAAGTTCAATTCGAGCTGTTTTAGCTTGATAATGATGCAGTTGTCTGATGATTTGATATTTTAAGAGCTGGTGAGCAACGTGGCGGATGAATGATATTTATAATAAACACACACACACACACATGCACTCATCATTTTGGGCAAGTTTTTCAACATTAATTAAGGCAGTTCGAGAGCAGCAACCGAAATAAAACTTTGACTGTGTTTTAAATGAAAACAAGTCCTAACAAGTTAACTGGATTTTATGTGATTTCTAAAAGAAAATGCAGGCCAAGTTTAGAAGGGAAAGAGGCAGGAGTGGGTGAGAGGGAGAGCGAGATAGAAGAATATCTCGACTCCTGTGTGTGTGTGGAAAAGTTTCGCTGTGCATTTACACGATTTCTCACAATTTGGTTCATAATTGATGCAGCCGCGAGCTGCTTGACGCGCGCCGTGCCAAACTCCAGCGAAAGATTTTGCCACGCCAGAAGTTGAAAGATGTCAGCCGTAAGTGTTAGGCAAATTAGCAGCTGCGCTGAGCCTGTCACGCCTCGGCAACAAGTCGGCGAGAGCCGGGCAACTAAACTGATGCAACAGCCTGTCAGAAGGCTTTACGCCAACTTCTTGCGATTAGCTGGCTGAGTATTACCAGACAAATGTAAGGATATATGTATGTGTGTGTGAGTGTGTGTGTGTGTGTAATAAACAGTCTTGGCAGAGATTAGTTCTCTCTTCTTTGGCAAAATGACATGAACTGCATAGACTAGAGCTGTTACAGACATCGATGGCATTATCATTACTAAAGATTCCCTCTATACATAATTATTATATATAAGATTCCTTATATAATCCTATTTTACTGGCTACCTTGTAGCATTTAATTCTGTGAGCATTATCGGTCATAGTTCTAACAATGTGTATATTAATTAAGTTCTGTACAGTTTGAGTTGCTCAAAAGCTAACAGGATTTTTTGCATATAAAAAAATATATAAATAAATCAAATTAATTAAAAAAATAATACAAAACGAATACAAAATAATAAAAAATAAATAAATAAATAAATAAATAAAAATATATATATAAAATAAAATAATATACCATAAAATAAAATATAAATAAATAAATAAATAAATTAATTCAAATAAACAAAATTAGAGAGCATAAAATTAAATTAAAAAAATCAATATATAAGTTATTTATTTATTTATTTTAATTATAATTTTTTTAATATTTCTTTTTTTTTTATGAAATTTTTAACAATAACTTTCGGTTTTATTTCAAAAGAATTCTTAAGCCTCTTAATTACATATTATTAAAAAAAAAAAAAAAAAACCAAAAAAAAAAAAAAAAAAACAAACAATAATTTTAGATAAATAAAATAAATGTTATTTATTAAAAATAAATGGTTTTAAAATCTTTAGTAGCTAAAGGTTTTTCTTAAACAATTAATAATTATAAAACTATCGTATCACATCGTAAAACTAAGTATCGCTATGTGCAACAATCGAGAAATGAGCAACTCAACTGTAAAGAGTCTCAAGAAACTGAACGGCCAACAGATTTAAATATATATACAGTGTATAACATTAATATTCAAATTTGATAAAAATTTCTTTATTTTTCTTATAATTTTTGTTAGTTATGCTAAATATATACCCCCTTTGAAAAGGAAATTTTACCATACATAACTTACATTTTATACTTTTTTAATTTTAATTAATATATGATATTTTATTTGCATTTAAAGTTGAGAAATAAAATCAGCCGAATATTAATGTTACTCACTGTATATATGTTTAGCCTCTCCTATCTTAACTTATAGTCAAAAGTCGTATGAAAGAAAAGAGTCGATCTTTACTCACTCGGTGAATCCATGAGCAGGTCGTTGTCATTGTCGTTGCCATTGGGCGACAGCTGGGGCGGCTCGCTGCGCGAGGAGGGGCTGAGCTTCAGGGGCTGCATGAGTGAGACGCCCGACGTGGATGGGCCCGGCAGGGGCGAGTCGTCGCGCGGCGAGGCGGATGAGGCGCGCGTGGCCGTAGCCGTGGGCGGCCCCAAGGATTTGGTGATGGTTAGCTCGCCATTGGAGGCGTTGAGTCTGCAAAAGGGAAACGCTTATATAACCAAATATCTGTGACTGCCTCACCTAGAGTTGCTCACCTATTGATGCTGCTAAGTACGTTGCCTGTGGCGCTGGACGCGCTCACTGTCGCCGTGCAGCTGGTGGCCGTGACGGAGGCGACGCTGGAGCCGCCGCTCAGGCTGGGCCCGTTGCCCAGGTAGTCGCGGTCCAGCCGCGGCGAGCTGCCCATGTTGAGCGGATGCACGGGCGGCGAGTGCGAGCGGAACAGCGGAGATGAATAGCCTCTGTCGTTGCTGCCGCTGCTGCCGATGGCTGATTGAGTGGACGCCGTGGGCGTGAGCCGTCCGCCGGACACGTTGCCCGCTGTGCGCTCGTGCGGCAGATGGTGCACGGACGCCGAGCCGCCAGTGCTCGTCCTGGTCGCCGTCGCCGTTGGTGTGTGGGAGCGGCGCTCCAGCCGCTCGTGGTGCTGGCTGAGATTCATGCCCGTGGCGCCGGACGAGCCACGGCCCGGACTGTGCTTGGGCGACACGGCGGCCGACGTGCGCAGATTGTGGCCAAAGTGATGGCGCGCCAGCGCCGCCGAGGGCGGCAAGGCGGGCGGCGAGACGCTGCCGCTGCTATTCAGCTCCAGCGGCTTCAGGTCCAGCTGCGGCGCCGTCAGCTCATCCGGATGCCGCAGGCTGATCTGCGGATGCGACGACGCTGTGGCCGTCGCCGTCGTGTTGTGCAGATGATGATGATGCAGATGCGTCTGCGTCTCAGGCTTGATGTGCAGCTGCTGTTGCAGCAGGAATGCCGCTGCCGGCGGCGGCGGTGGGGCTGGCTGTTTGCTCGGCAGCGCCGGGCTGCCCACGGTGGGCGAGCCCGAGGGGGGCGAGCGCTCCGCGGAGCGTCGCAGGTCGGCGGCCAGGTGAGTGTGTGGCAGGTGACTCGCCGCGGCTGCGGCCGCTGCTGCTGCCGCCAACTGTTGCTGCTGCTGCTGCTGCTGCTCGCGTTCACGCTGCTCCCGCTGCTGCTGCTGATGATTGGCAGCGGCGGCCGCAAACAGCTCCGGATGCAATGCAGTCAGCAGCTGCTGCACGCCCGTCGAAAACAGATTCGGCTTCAGTAAATTCGTCGGAGTTTGGGCCAATTGCGGCAAGGCTGGCGCATGCTGCAGTGCAGCCAGAGGCGGAGCCAACAGTTCGCGTTGTTGTTCGCGTTGTTGTTCGCGTTGTTGTTCGCGTTGCTGTTGCTGCTGTTGTTGCTGCTGTTGTTGTTGCTGTTGCTGCTGCTGCTGATAGCTGGCAAAAGCGCCAAATGCATTGGGCAGAAATTGTTCGCTGGTGGGTATCTGTGGACTCACCGGAATGGTAAGTATGGTCTGCACAGCAATGCCTTGAGAGGGGAAGGGAGAGAAGAGATATAAGGAGATTAGAAAAGATGGAATCAATCAGACATCTCTGAGTGTAGAACTCTTATATAAAGGACTCTGATTCGAGAAAGAGCAGACAGAGCGCCTGAGAAAAGTCCTTAAGCAGTCTTGCATTCCGATATGCCGACCCGACTAAAAAATTTGGCTGGCTAATCTCAACTATCTTAATGTCAAGGTACTACTTTTTTCAATAGCAATACTATGCTAATGCTATCTAATCTTAACTATTTTAATGAAATACTACTAAAATATTTATAAATACTTTTATTTTTGTATTAATGAACACTACTATTTTAATAAACATTACTATATTTATGAGTGCTACTACTTTGATGAATACTACTATTTCATGAACAGAGCTATTTTAATGAAGACTACTATTTTAGTGAGCACTACTATTTTTATGAACACTACTCTTTTAAGGAATACTACTATTTTAATGAACACTATTAATTTAATGACCACAACTATTTTTATTTATATTACTATTTTCATGAACACTACTATTTTTACGCACACTACTATTTAAATGTGCACTACTAATTTTATGAACACAACTATTTAAAGGAACACAACTATTAAAAAAAAAAAAAAAAAAAAAAAAAAACTACTATTTTAATGAATACTACTATTGTAACGAACACTTCTATATTTATAAATATTGCTTTATTTACACTATGGATACTACTGTTTTTATAAGCACTACTATTTAAAAAACATTAAAATTTGTATAAATACTACTACTTTATTGGATACTACTATTGTAATTAACACAACATATTTCATGAACACTACTATTTTTACGAACACTCTATTTTAATGAATATAAATATTCTTATAAACACTACTCTTTAAATGTGAACACTTCGATTTTCGTAGACTGAACACTGCTATTTTAATGCCAATCAGAATCCTTTTCATGGCCGATCGATTAGCTAAACTCTTCAATTAGAGATTTTCAAAATATATAAATATTAAATTTGAGTGGAAAAACAGAATCTTGGAAGTTTCCATTATAAATCAAGGAAATTGAAATTTGCCTAATCGCTTTAGCCGTGGCTTTAATGGTCGCGGCCAGGCCGAGACTTTGTCTGTGATATAAGCCAAAGTCAAGTGAAGTCAACTATGTTATTGATATCCAACACAACTAAAACTAATCCCCACACACACGCACACACACACACACACGCGATGTGTACCCACCTTGGGCTGTGGGTATGAGCAGTTGGGCTCCTTGGACACCCTGCACCAGTTGGCCGGAGGCGAGTATCAGTTGGGGCATCTGCGCGCTCGCCGGCGGCGCTTGGAGCGCGGGCGGTGGCGATGCGGTCGCTGCAGCCAACACATTCGCCAGCGTCGTCGCGTTTAGGGCGTGGGCGTGCGGTGAGCTGCTGCTGCTGGGATTATCCTGCGGCTGTTGGCTGGCGGAATTGCCGGCTGCGCTGCTGCTGCTGTTGTTGTTGCTGTTGTTGTTGCCGTTGTTGTTGCCGTTGTTGTTGCTGTTATTGTTGTTGTTGCTGCCCTTTGACGTCTTGTGCTTGTTGCCGTTGTGGCAGCCGCCATTGTTGTTGTTGTTGTTGTTGCTGCTGCTGGGCGAGAGACTTGCTGCAGCAGCTGCTGCTGACGTTGAAGTGACTCCACTAGCAACAGCTGCTGCTGCTGCTGTTGTTGTTGTCACAGCCTCAGCGCCAACACTCAGATTCAGGGGTGAGTTGAACACGGAGGCAGCTAAGCCCTGAAGACTTGCCAGTGCCGCAGCCGTGGCGGGATGATGATGGGAATGATGTGAATGCGGATGTTGTTGTTGCTGTTGTTGTTGCTGCTGCTGATGATGATGATGCTGCTGCTGCTGTTGCTGCTGCTGCTGATGTTGCTGTTGTTGCAGAGTGGCCAAATTTTGTAATTTTTGCAAATTTATCATGTCTTGCACTGTGAACGTGTGAGAGAGAGGGAGAGAGAGAGAGAGAGAGAGAGAGAGAGAGAGAGAGAGAGAGACAAAAGGTAGACGAAAAATGTTTACATTAGTTTTTACAGCCAAAACAGTTGCAAAATTAGCAGAAATGTCACAGTCTCTGGCCTCTGATATAATCGAGCAGCCCTAAAAGCTGCCAGCACTAATTGCCAGTTTACTCGGCTGCAAGTGTGTGCGTGTCTTGCACAGAGATGGAAACTGCTGCCAAATGCCAGTTGATATAGCTTAGCTGAGAGCTTAGATTCGGTTGGGATAGATTGGACGTAAAACTGGCAAATGCTGAGAGCATACGAATTCATTATTCATAGCTCAAATACGTCATTTGACCTTTTCATCTTCCATTACACTCGACACTGCCCTTCATACGAATTTCACTTTATATAACCTAATCATATTTGCTTTCCATTCCATCAATTCTAATCCATTCTAGTCATTCTGCTTATACTTTGATTTAATAAATATTTTTTACTCTTGTACGAAAATGAACAATCTTAAATAGTTCAAATAAAATATATCATATAAAATAAAAATAATAAAATTGCTTTGCCTGAAGGCCTTTGTTGCTCTGGCTTAAAACTTGTTGTATAGAATTAATTGTTTGTAACAATAAATAATTAAATAAATAAATTGTTTAATATTTTCTATATAATTTGAGCTAAAATCCTATCATCATAATTCCATATAATTTTTTTAAGTCATAAAATATAATATTACAATTAAGCACCTGTATATAAAAAAAATATATATAAATAAAAAAAAAAGTTATTTTTTTAATTCTGAATTCTCTCTAAATTTAGCAAGCAGACACCCATTTTTGTTTTTCCTATATCAGAAAATTGATTTGCTTTGAGAATATAATTAGTAAACGGATATATATCATTATCTTTGAAGGAATAATTAAAGACTGCAGCATACTTTGATTTCCCAATGATTGGAATAAAAATTGCTAAACAATGAGATTTTTGTCAGTCTTATGTCCGATCACTAACAGCTTTAATTTGGCTATAAAAAATCATGTTAAGTAAAATATTGAGACAAATATCTACATTTCATAATGTTAATAAAATAAGAATATTCATATAAAAAATATAAAAAATAAATAAATTAATTAAAATGAATTATATTAAAATTAAGAAATTATAATAACATGAAATAATAACAGTTAGTTATCAGCTAACTCAACAAATTTTCCTATCAGAATTTTGCCGAAACTAATCAGATTTCCAGACAATATTTAGCTCAATCATCACTCAACTCTAGATTTCTTGGTAAAATTGCCATATGCAAGCCCTGAGCAGTTTCCATCTCTGTTGTCGGTCGTTTCAGTTATAGCTTGGCTTTTGATATGTACTCACTAGTTCCATTTAGATGCGCCGCGAATGCCTTGGCCTGCGCCTGTTCCTCGCGCCGCAGACGCAACGCCTCGGCCGTCTGGTCCTCCGCTTCGTCCTCGTCCGCGTCGATTTGCATGGGCAGGGGCGAGACGGAGCTCGTGTCGCGCTGATGATGATTGGCCAGCGAAGCAGCCTTCGCGGCCAGATTCTTGTAGAACTCCAGCTCCTTGACGTGCTCCTTGCAGTCGTAGGCCGAGTGATTGGAGTGAGCGGGCGAGAGCAGCGTTGGCTCCATTTCATCTTCGTTGTTGTTGTTGTTGTTGTTGCTGTTGTTATTGTTGTGGTGGTGGTGGTGTATGTGCTGCTGCTGCTGCTGCTGCAGCTGCTGGTGCTGGTGGTGCAGGGAATGGTGGGCGTGGTTGCTGCTGCTGCTGCTGGGCGAATGTATCTTGTGGCAGCTAATCTCCTTGTCGTAGTCCTGCAACAGAAATGGTTCAAGAGGGATCATTAGTAACGAGCTTAAAGCGTTCAGCTAAGCGAAATGCTTGTCGTGTCAGGAGCAACTGCATGAGAGAGATTCTACGGCACATTGCGCATACGCCCCGTGCGCCATAAATCATGGCACAGCCCATTTGAAATCGAGCGCTGTGATTGCATTTATTAAATTATATTTTTGCACATTTGGTAATTACATAATCCGCACTGCAGCACAATTGTCAATTGTTTGACCACGCCCAGCTGCCATTCGGGGGGGCGTGCATTGTGCCACAGGGGTCCAAATGTTTGCTGATTGGATTATTATTTAAGCGACAGCACTGACATTTACTCGTATTACATTACATTCTGTCAGCTCGTCCGCGTGTGTGTGTGTGTGTGTGTGTGTGTGTGTGTGTATTCATTTACATGCAACACATCAGGGCTATATGAGTTAATAAGTTAATTTAATTTCAGCTGTAATTGTCAACGCACTTTTATTGTTTGACACTTATTGTGTTTCCTGCTCGCAGGGGGCGGCAGCTCAATTTATGCAAATTTAATTGGTTGCAATTGTTCAATTGCCGGCCAAGAGCGAGTGCGAGAGCGAGAGAGAGTGTGTGTGTGTGTGTTTGCGGATACATAAATTACAGGACATTAGCAAAGTGAAAAATATCTAAATAAATATGTTAAATAATTTCCAGATTTATAAATAACTTTGCTGAGTCGCAGCAGAATAAAAAATATATTTGCTATATTTTTTACTCCTTATCAATTAAAAATAGGAAATCAACGCATAATAGTTTTTTTTTTTTTTTTTTTTTTTTTTTTAATTTAATAAGTAATAGGACAAAAGCCACACTCCATAAAGTATATATCTTAGGTTTTTTTTTTCTTAATAAACACATATTTATTTACATAAATTCTCTGCAATTTCCAATGGGACTTTAACAATTGCACTTTAAATAAAAATATCTGCGACCAAAATGTTTGGTTTGAGTAATTTGTGCGCAGCACATGGAACTTGCCTTTGGGTAAACAACAGGAGGGCATAGAGAAAATATTTGTAAAAAAATAAAGAAGAAATAGAAAGGTAAACCAATATAATTATTGGCAATTAATGCTGGCAACGCTCTCAAAATGCGCTGCAAGCCCGGCAGGACCAAGCTCGTTTGGACAGGAAGCGTGGCAGCAGGAGGCGGGCGGCAGGAGGAATTGCGGACGGCGACATTAATGCCAGGGCGTCGCAGTTGCCTAAGTGCGGGTTGCCGGCGTCTCGTGGGCCGCGACATGCCCTGGCCAGAGCTTCAATTAAATTTTATTTGCATAGGAAATTAACATAATTGTAGTGCAAAATAACAACCCAAATACAAAAAAAAAAAAGAGAAAAATAGGAGAAAAAACCAAGGCAAAAGCAATAAAAATAAGCAGCGAACGTGACAGTGTAGAAAAAGTGTTAAATGTGTAAGGAATAAATGCAAATAGAATTGCTGCTGCCCAGTGTGGTAATTAAATGAGTTTTTATGGAAGTGTTAGATGCGCGCCGAGCCAATGCCAAAACTGAGCTCAATGCAAGCTTTGATTGTGGGGCAATTGAAATGAAAACTGAGAGATAAACAGTTGAAAAAAAAAAAAAAAAAACAAATGCTAATTTCGAATATAGACAACAGCAATTAAATGCGCTAATTATATTATAAATATATTCATTAGTTGAGCTGAAATTCTTGTTTTGTTTAATCATCAAACTCATCTACAGCAAATACGGTTCTTTAACTAATAAAAATAAAATACATAATTTTAGAAAAGCATATTAAGTAGAAGGGCTACGTTTATCTTTTTTTTTTTATAAATTTTAATTCTGTTTTTTTCACAACTCTCAAAGTCATTTACAGCAAATGCTAGCTAGGCAGAGAAATAAATTTGAAATAAAAAATATAAAAAAAATAATAGTAAAAAAAATATAATTTTACAAAATTATATTAGGTAAAAATTGCAACGCATTTTTTTTAGTTTTAAATAAATTTTTACATTTTCTTTTTTAAGTCGGAAAGTCATCTACATCTATGAATTAATAATTTAATTATCGGAAAATTTACGAAAATATATATATAATATACTATATTTTAAATGGTTAAGCTAAAAATCTTAAAAAATTGACAGTATATTTACTAGAGATATACCATCTATCCGCTATGCTCTTCTATCAAGGTTTTATCGAGACTATTTAACAAATTTCAATCCTTTCTTTTGCAACTTTCAAAGCCATCTACAGCAAATGCTGTCCGCTATCATTTATACACACATATTTATAGCGCCATCAATATCAAAAGTGAGTCTGAAAAGTATGCAGCGCCATTTGCCATATGCCAGGACAATAATTAAGAACTTGATAAATTTCATTGCCACGTGCTAAAACTACATTAAAACAAGTGGAGTAAGAGAGATTGAGCAGGCGAGTGAAGTCGACTAGGAAATACTCTCTAAGAAATGTGTTTTGAAATTGTCGAGTTTATTTTATGATATATGATATAGAAATCCACTGTATTTTATTTTACATTTCTGTATAATTTTATTTTTTTTATATGCATATTAACATTTTTAAATTAATCTCAATTTATACACAAATATCTAATCGATTTTTCCTCATGTATTTATGTATATTTTCTTTTATATATATATATAAAAAAAAAAAAAAGAGTTTTCCTTATTTCCCAAACTTCATCTATCAATTTCTAAATATCACTTCAATTATAATTCCAGCAAGCCATAATTTTTTCATAGTCAACATGCCCATTTGGACTTTGTTAGTCGCGTATCAAATATGACATTTATTGGCGTCGGCAACGATAGTGGGACTGGACACACACACACACACACACACACACACACACATAGTAACATAAGCAGGTGCTGGTGCAGGACAGCAAAATTCATCAATAGACCAGGAGCTGCGGCCAGTGGATGGCAAAGGAGGCGCTCGATAGTTGTTGCCAGCTGGCGAGAACGAACGAGTTAATGCCGTTGAACAGCAAATCGAACTAAATTTATGACACACGGTGAAAGAGCGCATAAAAAAAGAGGAGGTGAAAAACTATAAAAAAAAGCGAAAAAAAAAGGAAAATAAGGAAAAATAAAAAATGAACGGCAGGCAACGTAAATGTCCTGTGTGCATGTCCTTTATGCAAACAGGCGGCAAACAGACGGCAACCGCCGACGACGCTGACAGTCACTATATGCCACAGAAACAGCAGCAACAGCGGCAGCAGGAGCAGCAGGAGGTGGAGCAGGAGCAGCAGCAGCAGCAGTTGTAGTTGGCGCTGCAGCGGGGTGGGACGATAGCTGATGCACTGATGTGCAATGAATTAACTTTTCAACATATTTACACACGCTCAATTGAATGGTGGAGTGAGTCCACAAGCTACTGGCATGCCATAGCCAAGGGGCGGGCAGAGTGAGGCGTGGGTAGCGCCTGCAGCAACAAAGTTGCTGAACAAAAACGGGGCCATATAATGAGGCGCTGACGTCGCTCATTGTTGCCGCCGTCGCAGCAGTTTCGCAAATGAGCGGAAATTAAAAACTGATTTAGTACGAAGGCAGTCGAAGTGGGCGTGGTTAAGGATGCCTTATAAAGGCGTACATGGGCGTACAGCTGCTCAACTGCAGCTGAGACGTATTGAGAGCTGTCATTTAAATAAAATGAAAATAACTATTTCTTTAGCCTTTAAGAAACAGATATAGCTTGATTGAGATGATAATTAGATAATTAGTTGAATTTATATTCGACATATTGTAGTTCATGGAAATGTTTAAAAATTATTATATATTTAATGCCTCTATAAATATATATATAAATAAATATTATTGAATCTTGAAATTAATTAATTCAAGATATTTATTTTAACTTAAAGACAGTCGAGCTACAATTTAAAAATTAAAATAGTAACCTTAACTTCAGCAAACAGATGCATTAAATTAATGAATTTTTTACAGCTTAAAAACAAGTTGTAAAGAAAAAGAAAACGAAATGAAAATTTTGGGTCAAATGGAAAACTTTTTCCGAGCATACTTAAGCTTTTTGTTTTTTGATAAAATTAAAGCTAAATTTAAATAATATTATGCGAAATGCATTAATACTAAGAAACATATATAATATATTAATATTAAAAATATAAATATATAATATTTTACATCTACTACAAATACTTTAATAGCAGCTGCTTTAAGAAACATATTAAATAATTATAAATGTTAATATATATAAATACAATATTATATATATATTGTAGAGTCGAAAATGCTGTTATAGAAATATTTAAAATAAAATAAAAATAATAGTAATAATAATAATAATAATAAAATATATTTTTTTAATTATTATAAAATTTTTTAATTTAATATATATGTATTTATGATTATTCAGCCTCAAAGAATTTCATGCCTTAATTCATTTCGCATCTATATAATTTATGTTTCCTTCACTTCAGCTTGCATTCAATTTAATATTAAGCTGTATATATGTATAATCATATATATGTATAATTCGAATGCCTACTTGTGAAATACATCATTACTGATTCTACCGCCTATCCAATCGGGTCTGTCTGTCTCTTTACGTTAATAACTCAGTTGCGAGACGCCTCAACGTATGCAATACAAATGCTCACAGAAGGTAACGCGCCAAATTTATAGCCACGCCGAGCTGTCCAGCTCCACACTCACACGCACACGCACACACACACACACATGTGAGTAGTGGCAGTCTCCTTCTCACAGCATAGCTCGGCAGCACTTGAAGCAACCGGACGATGAATGTGCAACAACTTTTACTTTTTTTTTGGTTTCTTTTCTTTGCTGTTTTGTTTGGCTTTTTGCGACGCCGTCAGATGAAAATAAGTCAAAAAATAGAAAATGAATTGAATTATTGCAAAAAGCGCGATCCGCGCTGCCGGACCAAAAGCAGCTCGAGTGGGCCGCAACAGGACGCGGCGGCGTGAGGTGAGCTGG